TCTAAGCTGGCGTCTGCCTTGGCGTTCCTCTGAGCCGCAGGAATTCGAGGGGAGAAGCCCATCCGTTAGAAAAGTCCAGCCGCTAGGAAGAGGACTTGCACCCGACCGGACGGTGTGTTCCCGCTGCGCTGGGTGAAGGCAGTTTCCTGGCAAAGGCTCCTGCCCGCCCCGGGTAGGGACTCTTACCAGGCACTCCCTCTCTCTCTTCTAAACTGAGCTCAGCAGATCTAATACCAATATGTCCTCTGATTGTAGTTCTGTCTGGTTTGGGTTCAGTTTATGATTGTCACTGCTGCCGCTGTTTCCTTTGTATAAGGAGCAGCCTTGCCAGTGTCAGACATCCAAGTTACACACTGTGCAAACCACATGTGAGCTTTATGAGGATCAACAGTTTCCAGTTTCGATCGTGACTCAGAAATAGGGCCACTGGCCATCCCCATAATCCTGCACAGGCAAAGGAAGTGCTGGGTGCCGTGTGGGAAGGACTTCAGGTCAAAGATCGAGAGAAAGGCCAGTGACCTTGAACAAGTGACACCCACTCGTTTGCTCAGCAGGGAAACAGAAGGATGGACCCAGGTGAACGTTAAGTCAGGAAAAGAGCATTCATGGAGAAACAGGGTCCTTGAAATTGGACTTACGTGTGCAGCTTGATGGTCACGTGACGGTGGGCAAGATACTATCTCCTCTGAGCCTCAAGTTTCTCATCTACCCACTCGGACATTTTGTGAGGTTCGGGGTGAAAATTAAGCGAGATAGCATTTTACTACTCATAGAAGACAAGAAATGGTCTGTGAAAGTGAACTTCTCCGCCTCTGTTTCCTCTCCTTCCTCCAACTCCTTCAAGGCGTCTGTTAGCGCTCACACCTGAGACGCCTTGAAATTAGGTAACAAGACAGGCTATGGAGTATCATCTGTGTGTCCCCTTCAAGAGTCTGGGTTTTGTGGTGAAGACCCAGATTTAACCCGGGAGGTAGGTCACACGTGTCAAGTTTGAAGCTGGAGGAGAAGGAGAATGGAGCCCGGCTGGCGGAATGGAACAGCTCAGGGATGCCGCCCACAGGGTGGGAGCAGATGCAAGCAGAGGAGGGGACCTCTTGACCCACTTAGCACAGAGCTGGCAGTTTCATTTCTTGGCTGGAGCAGAGGCACAAATGCTGAGGAGGGAGAGAAGGACCGCTGCTACCTGGAGCACTTTTGAAGCGATTGGGTTACAAAAGAGATCGATGGGGACCCTACGGTGACCTGCCAGATCCCACTCTCCTGGAGCCAGAGAAGTTTTAAAACGAGTGGCAACGAGGAGGTGGTGCGGATAAGCCCTGCATTACCGAGGGACTGACAGAAAGCGCCTCGAGTGACTGCGGACAGCCAGAGGCTTGGGGCAGGAGGGAGACGGGGACCAGAAGTGACGGGAGCCACGTCTCGCCTATTCTTCGAGAGGCAGAGCACGACGCCACTCAGAACAGCACTTGGAGCGTGGAGCTGTCTTTGCTTCCTGGCAGCCCAATTAGTCATAATACCTGGGGACACTGGAGCGGAGCAACGACAGCTCAGAAGTACTTGACTGGGGCTAGAGTGTGGCAGCAGGGCCGAGCCTCAACTTGCAAGGTCACGGGCGCCAGAGAGAAGACTTTTAAGGAGTCAAGTGTGGACACCCCCATCCCTCTCTGCCCTTTCCCACCCCTCGCCACCCTCCAGCTGCACGTTCAGTGCACATGCTTGCTGGGCAGGCTGGGGCCACACTCCCCATCCTGGTGATGTGACCACTCATGTCACCGCTTGTTTTTGTTTGTTTGGCTGGCTTTTTTTTCCCCCTGCTTTTGGCCACCCTACACTCCTGACCTCACAGGGGCCAGCGCTCTGTCCAGATATTACCTAACTCATCAGATTCACCGTGTTCCCGGCAGGGAGGTGATGGGAATTCTCCCCCTTATTTCAGAGAACCAGAGTCAGAAATGCCCAGGATCTAAACAGTCTCCTCAAGCTGCTTGCAGGAGCTATGGAAGAGACTGAGGGAGGAGATCCCTCAGGCTAGTGAGCCAGAATCAAGACTCAGAGCTGCACAGCCTCCTCCGGAGCCCTCACCCTTCTTCCCTCCAGGGACGATCATGGCTCCAGCCCTCCCTGGAGCACTGGCCCCCAGCTTCGAGGCCAGGACCCCTCTCAACACCCCAGGGAATGCCTAGTACAGCAGACTCCGCCTAACTTATTTGAAAACCACACATAACCACATGCAGCTGGACTTGCCCACTCCCAGTCGGGAGTGGAGAAACACATACTTCTGCAAGATTTCATAGAGAGACTCGAGGAAGCCAGGACGTGCTGAATAGAAAGCGTTGTTAGTGGTCCTAAGCAAATCCTCACGGTACGTGATACGGCTTCATTCAAACAGTAGGAAGTGTGGAAGGTCAACACAAATGTGCACAAATTCTTCAAAGCATTCATTTAAAACAAAGAGGAAAAATTGACCCAATAGTAATCATTATTGGACTTCCATTTCCACTGATGACAATTAATACCCAACAACTGCCCGACATCTTCTGTGCTTTACTGAGCTCTTGCAAATACGTTGGAGCTGCTGCTCCTTATCTGCTCCCAGAGAGGAAGAAGGGTGGGTACTATTTCCCCCTTTTTACAGACGAGGTAGGCAACAGAGGCTTCCAAAAATACGACCTTAAGCCACCATCCCAAAGATGGTGATCATAGATCGTGGAAGGTAGACCCTCACCCCAACCCAGGGGCTTCCCGTGGCCCACAGGCTGCTTCCTCCTTTGTGTTAGGAGTTCAGGGTTCTGGTCAGCAGACTTTCTTGACAGACGGCCGCTATTCGTCTCAAGCTGCATCTTACCCGCCCTGGCTCTGCAAGCTGATTCCATCTTGGCCGTAGTGCAGCGAGCAGTTGGCACAGCCAAGCCATTGAGAGGCCTCAGGAGCCACTTGTGAGCTAACCTCAGGCAGGAAGCCGAATTCAGTGGCTGATCAGTGACAAGAAATGAAAGAATTAAGCCCCAGAGTCACAAGCCTATTTCCGTCTTGCCTAGGAAGGGACAGGTCCATCGTGTGAAAGGTTTGATTTAAGGGCATTTAATTTTGTTCTTTCCAATAGAGATGTTTTCAAAGAAGCCTTTCAACCACACATCTGAGTATCTCCGGGCTTTGGGAGCTGCTTCGCATTGCGGGCTTGGCTCTTCCTTCCAAGATACCACAGTTTTCTTTCTAAGAAGCACAGGGCACAGTTCACCTTTTCCTTGCAAGGAGGAACACATGCGTGTAAGGCAGGTAGCCAGCATCCCGGATGGGAGGCTCAGTCTGCCAGGGGAGCCACAGCTGCCCTCACTTGCCCTGCATTTATGTGTTTTCATCTCACTTCATCCTCACAAGAAGCATCTGGGAGACACTGAAACTGAGGCTGAAGGAAGTTCAATAGCACATTCCAGGCCAAACTGTTCAAGTCCTTCTCATGCCAAGTCTTTCCTCTGCCTCCTACTGCAGATGGATTCCTGGCCTCAAAATTCTCTCCAGGAAAGAGAAGAATGAAGGCTCTTGAGACCCCATCACAGATCTGGGGAGAGCGTAAGCTTGATGTTGCTTTGGCTAATCTCGTAGTATCACCTCAGATCTGGGCTTGGGAGGAGTGGAGTAGTGAGAGATTTCTGTATTTGATGTCTGTTGCCTGCGGCATCTTGCTCACAGCTACCACAGAAGCCACTGCCCAGAGGGACAGCAGGACAAAGATAGGGAAGGCAAATTCTTCTTCTTTTTTGTTTAAATCGGGTAGGAGAATAAGTTCTTTATTATCAGTTAGAAGGTCTTTGGGACTCACTGGCGTGTTTTGATAGAGGAGGAGTGGGAATGAGTTTGCACCACTGAAGGGGGCAGTAACTTTGATTACTCTTCGTGAAAATTAAGGGCTGCTTCCATTATCAAAAAGCAATGAGGAAGCCCTTTCACCCTGGAATAACAGAGAGCAGCCCACCGTCCCGACTCTGTCTGGTTGGCAGCACGCACGGTGCTTCTCACCGGCCAACCTGACACCCAGCAAGTGTTCACCGAGCATCAGCTACACATGGTGGGGGAAGCTGAGAGCACTATGGGACCTCCCTTCTGCTCTCAAAAGGGCTTAAAAATCTAATTAGAGCAACGTGATCTATGTACAAACAAAGTGATCAGCAGCCAATTCAAGACAGCAGAAAGCTGAGTGTTTATGATCAAGACAATAAACGTCAAATGATTTAAAGCAGCGAAAGACCGTGAGGAATGAAGTGGTCAGAGAAGGTTTGATGGAGAAATGGGAATTGGCCCAAGCCTTTCGTTGCATGGATCTGGATGAACAATGGGGGAGGACAAATTCCAAGTACAAGAGACTAACTTAAGCAAAGAAGTAGAATTCAGCATGAGTGTGATGAAACTAATGTAGTTTATTATACTTGTGTTTCAAATGATGATGCAGAAATCAAGTGGATTGATTGCCCGTTTAATTCCCCACTGGTTTGCAGAGGAGAATTAAATGCTAATAGACAGAGTACTGACAAAGGCAGAGTAATCCTTAAAGTCCCTCTACAGGAATGCAGGAAGCTCACCCAGATCTGGGGACAACAGTTCTGAGGCACCCTCCACTTCTTCCCACACCTCCCTCAAGGGAGAAGGTCCCTGAAATTACCATGGACATTAGTGATAAAAACAGGTATGTAAAACTCTCTATTGGCCCAGACCAATGATCCATTCGGACCAGGATTCAGTCATTGAAAATGACACCAAGTATATTAAAGGAAGGACATTACTGTCTTCTGTGATCTCAATCTCCAAAGGTTAGGGCTAGGACCCTAAACACCCTTAATTTCCTCCTAGTAGCCGATTATGGCTCCATAAAAAATAAACTTACCTAAATTATTCTTCAACCAATTTGTATTTTCTGACAGCATGACCTCTGAGGATGATACATTCTGAGTGTTTACTACTCACTATATTGGGCCATAATAATACTTCCTTTTATTTCTCCCCAGCTGTGTCTCTCCTTCAAGCTTCAAAGGATGCCCCTTATTTCTAATATTCTAGGATGCCGTGAACAGATCTATATTCATATAATTAGAACTTCCCTTGGTTTTCACCTTTCTAAATGGAAGAACATTGAACCTATCCTTATATTAGAAACTTCTACTCGTTTGTTGATTCTTGTTGACCTCTGCAGGTGCCTTCTTGGCTCCATTTCTCGTTGTTGTTTATTTTTAATCATCATCATCACCATTGTCCTATCAGATACATCTTATGAACTTCGCGATTCCCTTGGCCTCACCTGCCTCTGAGACCCTCCGCTGCTTGCTCCCCCTCAGCTGTCTTTGTGACTGATGAACTGACCTAAGCCAGCGTGGAACCAACCAGTTACTGCCTGGGAGTGACAGACCTCCCCTTTGGCTAGGGACACACAGCCAGGCTATCCAGCTGCATCTCTTTTGAGTCTTGGCATCTCTTGCAACTTCTGGATCAGATGTAGCACCATATTTTAGGGTGTGAGATCTGGCTTGCCGAGTGGCCACCGCAGGGGCCAGGTGGTGCAACTCCGAAGCACAGGTGCAGACTTTGACCAATGAAAAGTAGAAGGGAGGGAGCCCAGCAGATAAATGAGCCCTCCTTCCCTGCTTCCATGGGTGTGGTGTAGCCCTGTCCAGAGACTTTCCGTGTGGCAGAGCCACATGTGTGTTTCAGGTGACCTGCTGTGTCTTCTTGCTGGTGTCACGAAGCAGTGGCCATTATGATAAAGCATCATCTCACACCTCTTTTCATCTTCCCTCTCTGTCGCCTTCTCCTCACTTGTGTGGTCCTTGCCTTGCCAATAAACCATCAGAACTTGGTCCTTAGGCCCTATTTTCTAGGGAATCTGGGCTACAGTAAACATCAAGAAAGCCATTCATGGTTTATTAAGTATCTAGTGGATTCTAGGCTCTGTGGCAGGTTCTAGTGATACCACACGCACACAAAAACACAATGTGACTGGACATTCAAGATACATATGAGAAAAGGAAAATAACACTTTAAAGCTGGCATATGCCCCATGCCAGAGAAACAGCATAAACAACAAGCATCAAAGGTGTTGAGAGGGGTAAACAGTCACTGGGACCACCCGACACACCTTGAGCAGGTGGGCCATCACCATGTGGGTGGCAAAGAATGAAGCTGTAATTTTTTACCAAAGTCACTTTTCAACTCCCCCATCTAATCTTCTCTGATAGTTCTGAAATCCACTTCTACTGGCTTGACATTTCTGTATGTGGAAGACTTGAATGTCGATTGCACACAAAAGAAATTTCATTATGGTCTCTCTTTTCTGCAAAAATATTAACATGTTAAATCAGAAGTTTCAAAGTGGCAGTTTCTAGAAGACCCCACGGTTAATGCTTTTTATTCCAAGAAGTGCCCATTTATCGTCTCCCTGACATCTAAGCCGGATCTTAGCCACGTCATGGTATGTTCTGCCATTGTACCTGCACCCAGTGACTTCTCCATAATCAAACAGCTTCGGCACATCAAACCCACTGCATCCAGGTCTCAAGCCCAAGATCCTAACCACCATCCTGTCCTTCAACTCTGGATACGGTTTTGTATCCAGTCAATGACCCTCTCTTCAGAAGTGCTTCATGTCTTTCTTGCAATAGAAGGACTCTGAGGACCCAGAGGTCCCTTTTGCTGACCCCTGGATGTCCCTGACAGTTACACAGGCAATCCAGTGAATCTGGTTGCTCATACACAAGCCATCTGACACTTCTGGCCCCCAGTTTTACAATTTCACTCTCAAGTTCTTTCAAACCTATTGAATGGATGGCATCCCATTTTGATGATTTATTTAAACAGTTTGTCAGGTCAACCACATCCTGTTCGCAAAACAGAAACGTTTGTTGTAGATGTAATTTTTCATGTCAACTTATACACCAACAGAAAATGACCTTTATTTGAGAGCGATGCAATTTCTTTACAAATAGTAACATGCAATGCCCTGCTGAAGCAATCATCAGGTTCTCCTAAAATATGTAATAAAAATGTGTCTTTCAGCTGAACAGCCAAAATGGTTTGGGGGCCTTCGCCACTCCTTAATTACAACTCAACAAGAGGATTTAAGATTATTCACATGATTTCTTGTCATTAGATGGATGTGAGCAAATAATACATTTCTGAAGAGTCATAACTTGAAAGTACAACATAAAAAGGAAGCAAAAAGGGATCCACGTCCTTCTCACCAGCCTCTCAGGAGATTCCTTCTGATGTTGGTACTCACCCCAAATTTTTTTATTATGAACAAGAGGAATTCTATGCCTGGGGCTGGCCTTTCTATGGTGAATTCAAAAACTGCAAACCACATTTAATGTTTGCTCAATTTAATCAAAATTCTGTAAGTCAAACATTATTAGAAAGTTAAAATTTTTACCCTCAAATTACCCATATATTGCTTTCAAAAGTCCAATAAGTTACTTTTAATAAGTCCACAAATTTTAAAATATTTTTCCCTTAGTTTGGGGAACTCACAGTACCGCTGCTATTTTTGAAGTTGGTACGTGTCTGTTGGTGCGTGTATGCACCAAACACAAGATCTTATGAGCGATTCCCAAATTAAAACCTAGAAGAAACATCTGTGATAAAATGACTTCTCTTCCTTCTGTGATTTCAGCAGTGTATTTATGCTCTTTGGGTATTAGACAAGAATCTAAAAGACTAATCCCCTTTGGGAGCACTTGAGGGAAAGAGTTACTTAATTTTTTCGAATGGATTGAAGAGAAACTGGGGAAGCAGGTAGAACTAGCAACCCAACCTTAGGACACAGCAATCACTCATCTCTGCTCTGAATATAATATTAGGGTTGGAATTTCTCATCAGCATGGAATAGGAATGTGATAAACAGTCAAAAAAGGAAGTGTGAGTCTAAGGACCGAGAAAGAATCAGCCTGTGTTTGTCCAAGGTGCAAAAGGAGCTCCAAGGGAAGATGGTGCCCCCATCAGGCTTCAGACCAGGTCAATGAGCCCAACTAGACCAGTAGATGAGGGTGCTTTGTTTCACCGGATGGTAGGATTACTCTTACTGGGGAAACGAAATAATGAGTAAGCTTCAGGAAATGTAAACAAAAAAACCCCAGTAAGCAGGTGTAAAGGTTGAGGGTATAACTTCCAGGGCTGGATAATCACCGAGTTCACAGAACAAGATGGTCTGAATTCTGAGGGACAAGTTTACATCCAGGATGTTGGGGACCAGACATGAATGGGAGAGATAATTACAGCTTCAGTGTCAAATTGACAGTCAGTTTAAGGAGAAGAGAGTCATTTAGGAAGATGGAACATGCAGAAATAAGACTCAAGAGCAGCTCTGGTAGGACCTGAGGGTCCCAGCAAAAAAAGAAGCAGCTTGTTCAAAGGATCTCTGCTGCTCCCAGACCTGGAGGCACCCATCAGCCTACATCTTCCTCAGACTGAGAGCCGTAATGTCTTGTGTTTGTATAGAGGTCACCTGAGGAAGAGCTGAGTAAAGAAAAGAAACAGGGAAGTAGCAATACCCACCCTACAACAACAAGAACAAAAAGCACCTGCCATTTGCTGATGCCCAAGGAAGTGCTGAAAGCCATACTCCGTTCTCTTCTTTTTTTAAAAATATATTTTTATTGAAGTACAGTCAGTTTACAATGTTGTGTCAATTTCTAGTGCACAGCACAACGCTTCAGTCATTTTGGAACATACCTATATTCGCTTCCATTCTCTTCTTAGTGCTTTTTGTCTTTTAATGTTAACAAGAACCTTGCTATGTGAGGACTGTTGTCTGCGTTTCACAGATGAGGAAGCTGAGGCTCACAAAAGCTAACTGGCTTGTCCCAAGGTCACAGGGCTTGTGAGCAGATGATCTCATTCATGGCTAAACCTTGTTTTGCAAACTCATCTATTTTTTTTTTAATTCATTTGACTTTTTCTTTTTCTAATATTTCTTCTTTGAAGTTCCCTTTTTGAAACAGTAATCCTGCCCTGGGTGACAAAGAAGACCAGGGATAAACCTTGCCAATGCTGGATAGGATGGTCTAGGTAGCCCTGGATATAAAGTCAGGATCTCCCTCCAGAGCAGCCAGCAGGTCCACATTCCCACCCAGCCCTGTGCTATGTCAGTAAGGAGACTTTTAATGAACAGCACAAAGGCAAACTAGTCCTTGGCCTCAGGAAGATGACATGGCAGGGAGAACAGCATGGCACCCACGTGACGCCTACACTCTTAAAACTGTCCCTGCAGCTCTTTCTTGCTAATGATTTCGGGCCGGGAAAATATCATATGTCACCTCCCCACTTAGAAGCATCACCCTGCAGGTCACCAGATGCCGCCCTGTCACTCGCCTTGAGGTCCCTGAGCTGGGAGCTGGCTTTCTGCACCGGCCAGAGTGAGCCTGGGTGAAGGCCACGCCCTTCAGGTAAAGCTTTAAAACCCCAAGATGCAGCTCATTAGGGGCCCTGGCTCATTAAGGCCCGTCACACGCTGTCAAGGGTAGTTAAATCAGAGATTAGTGTCACCCAGAGAGTTTGGCGTGAGCCAGGTCCACGTTAAAGTGTTTGACACTGAGTAGTGAAGGCCAACAAGGTTACTGTTAGCTCCGAGCATTAAGCCTCCTCTCTGAGGCTAGTGGGGGCTGCCTGTTAGGTCCCTTGAGCAGAAGAAAGCCACGTACTTTCGTTTGCCTCAAATGTTTTTCTTCTCTACACTGAGCCCCATGTTGGCCTTACTGGATTTTTTTAATTAAAAAGCGCGTGACACATTTCACTCTTCAGATCCTATTTCAAAACACCTTCCCCTCAATTTGCCACAAGCTGCTCTTGTCCATCCTCTCAGAGGGATGGAGCTGCCAAAGTGGTCCTTGGTGTCTGTTAACTCGCTATCTGCCCGGGGAACAGTGAAATGCCTCTCACTTACCTCTTGTGGAAGTGTCAATTAATGCAACCTTTCTGGAAAGCAATTTGGTAATCTGTTCCAAGATCTTTAAAAATGCTCCTATCCTTTTA